TATTACCCAGAGATAACACGGATTATAGAATTAGAAGATGAAAACATTAAAACAGTTGTTATAACATTGTCCCATGTGTTCAAGAAGCTAGAGGAAAGAGACTGAACACAGTCTGTATACAGATAGATGAGGAAAAATACCAAATCAGACTCACAGAGATGATAGAAATGAAAACTACAACACCAGGTCTGAAAAAATACGTGGGATGAGATCAATAGTGGAAAATTTATTGCCATATATATATATGAATTTGAGGGCATAGAAATGTAAGCTACCCATAATAACATGGGAAGGGGGCTGAAGATAAAGTACAACGTATCAGTGGGTGGTGAGACAATTTCAGCAGCCTAATACGGATATAATTCTGGGCCTTATTTTTATAAAGAGGGTGGGTGGTTAGAAAACGTGTAAAGGAATACTGGTCTAAATATTATTCGAATTTGATGAAAACTACCAAGAAGTCAGTGAACCCCAGGTACAAGAGAATCAGTCCACTCTCATGATGCCATGAAAAAATACCCAAGACTGGATAATTTATAAAGAAAACAGGTTTAACTGACTCACAGTTCTGCATGGCTTGGGAGGCCTCAGGAAACTTACAATCGTGATGGAAGTCACCTCTTCACAGGGCGGCAGGAGAGAGAATGAGTGCCATCAGGGGACATGCCACGTGCTTATCAAACCATCAGCTCTCGTGAGAACTCACTCACTATCACCAGAACAGCGTGGGGAAACCACCCCCATGACTCAGTGATCTCCCGTCAGGTCCCTCCCATGACATGTGGGGATTATGAGATTACAAATCAAGCTGAGATTTGGGTGGGGACACAGCCACACCATATCAACAAGCACCATGACGAAAACCACACCAAGGGATATCGCAACCAAACTGCAACCAGAGAAAATGACAAATCATGTACAGAAGTCATAAAAAAAGTCTTTGTATAATTTTTATACAAATCTTGTGTACACATTATGTACATGTTGTGTATGAGTTAAAATTTTAAAACCAAGACTCCGCTAACAATATGAAACCTACAAGAAACCCATTTCAAGCATAAAGACATAAATACATTCAAACTAAATGGATACAAAGGAGATACTAACCGTGAGAAGGCTGGGGTGGCTACATAAATATCAGACAAGTAGATTTTAGAGCAAAGAATCTAAAATAAGGATAAAGAAAGACATTGCATCACAATCAAGAGGTCGGTTCCTCAAGGTGACATAACAAGTCTAAGCACCCATATACCTAATTAACAAGCTTCAGAATGCCGGAAGCAAAAACTTAAGTTGCTGCAAGGAGAAAGACAAATGGCAATTATAGTCAACTCTCCTTTCTCAATAATTGGTGGAAGAAGCAGACAGAAAATCAATGAGGATATAGAGCAACACCATCACCTGGGTTGATCTACTTAGCATTTAAAAGGCACTCCACCCAGCAACAGCACCACACATGCCCTTTTCAAGTGCACATGGAAAAGTTGCCAACACAGACCATATTCTGGGTTGTAAAACAAGTTTCAGTGAATTTCAAAAGATACAAGTTGTGGTGAGATAGAGATTGGATGTGACCCCCTCTACATCTATCTCATGCTGAAATGTCATCCCCAGTGACAGAGGTGGGGCCCAGTGGGAGGTGACTGGACCATGGGGTAGATCCCTCATGAATGGCTTGGTGACATCCCCTTGGTGCTGAGTGAGTTCTCCCTCAGTTACTTGACTTGAGATCTGGTTGTTTCAGTGCATGGCATCTTTCCCCTACCCGTGTGGGTACTCCCACTCTACCCGTGTGCTATGACAGCTCCCCTTTGCCCTTCACTGTGATTGTAAGCAGCCCAAGACCTCGCCAGCAGCTGAGCAGATGCTGGCACCATGCTTCCTGTACAGCCCACAAAGCGATTAGCCAATCAAACCTCTTTTCTTCATGAATTATTCAGTCTCATGTACTTCTTTACAGCAACACAAGAAACGCCTAATACACGGTGTTATGATATATATTGGTTTTTGTCCATGGTTGTTCCTGGCTCATAACTCCCGTAGCTCCTCGCTGTGTTGCACAGGCTGGAGTGCAGTGGTGCGATCTCAGCTCACTGCAAAACTCTGCCTTCTGGGTTCAAGAGATTCTCCTGCCTCAGTTGCCCCAAGGCATGACTCTAATATTTCCCCACCTTTCTTATTGTGGGTATCTAGACTCTCCCCAAAGAGGGTCCCAACTTATCCCTGGGGGAAAGAATGCTAACTTCGTGAAGCTTCCATAAATACCCAAGAAGACTGGGGTGGGGGAGCTTCTGGAGAGTTAAATACTTGGAGGCCAATAAAAAAGTGAAGAACTCATTCAGGTGTCTGGAGAGTGGGGCACCCCAGTTCCAGGGCGAGAAGCTCCCACTTTTGGGACCCTTCCAGACCTTGCCCTATGTATCTCTTTATCTGGTTGTTAATTTATATTCTTTAAAATATCTTTCCTAATAAACTAGTAAATGCAAGTGTTTCTCTGCATTCTGTGAGAAGATCTAGCAAATCAATCAAATGCAAAGAGGAGATTGTGAGAACCCCAGCTTGAAGCCAGGTGGTTGGAAGTTCCAGAGGCCCAGACTTTTAACTGTGGGGAGAGAGGGAACCATTCTTTGGGACTGAGCCTTCACCCTGTGGGATCTGGTGTTATCTCTGGGTGGACAGTGTCAGAACTGAATCAAAGGACACCCAACTGGTGTCTGCTGCTTGGTACACAAGGAAAAGCCACACACATTTGGTCACAGATGTCTCTTCTGTGTTGATAGTTGTTATGGTGTGGGAGGAGAGGAAAAACACAATTTGAGAGTTTTCCCCTACACACAGGTTGTATAAAGTACGTTCATTCCCTGACTCCTGTGGAATTTAGCTAGAAATCAATAAGGAAAAAAATATGAAGAAAACTCATTAATACTTGTACATCAAATAACATACTTCAAAATAGCCCATGGGTTGAAGAAAAAAATTCAAAAGAAAAATGGGAAATTGGCAATAAAAATTAAACACAACTTATCTAAATTGTGGGATGCAACCAAAGCAGTAATCAGAGGAAAATTGATAGCACACTGAAATATCTATTTTAGTAAAGAAGAGAGATCATTAATCTTTGACCTAAGCCTCCCCTTTAAGAAATCAATGAAGGAACCACAAACTAGACCCTATGTAACTAAAAGAAAATAATAATGACCAGGGTAGAGATCAATGAAATGGGAAGCAGAAAAACAATAGATATTGATGAGATTAGAAGCTAGGGTCTTCGAGAAGATCAACAAGATTTTGAAACTTCTAGTCAGACTGGTCACATAAAATATACATAAGACACAAATTACCAATATTAGCAATAACAGTGATGACACCAGGACAGAATCTACAGAGGGCTGCATAAATGTCAGCTACTACTGGTCTATGGGCTCTTCTCTCAGGGACATCGAAGTCCAGTTATGAGGGATGGTGTCCAATGCATCCTCACTCCTGCCCACCCTGTACCTGGCCCATCAGCCTGTGGGCAATAAGGCTCAACCTGCTGGAGGAATGTGTGAAAGGCTCCAGCTGATCCCAGTATGCCAGGGCATGACAGAGCAGCTGCCTCACATTCTTGGTGCCGATCTCCTGACCACCCTGAGCTCCCTGTCTTCTCCCAGGGGATTCTGCCCCACGACAACCTTGCTTTGGCTCTGTTTGCCTGGCAACTTGATTTTGCATTTGCTCTTGGGTTCCTCAGGGATCTCCTAATAAAAGCAAGTGGACAAAAATGTTGCCCATGGTTACCACCTGAGAATGTTGGTAACAAGATGGCACAGTCCCATTCCTCTGAGGAGGCAGGTGGGGAAAGGAAGATTGCTGGCTCAGGATCCGAGGAAGCGTCCACCTCTGGGAAACGTCCTTTCCCAGGGAAGCAGCAGCCTTACCTGAACCTGAGCTCATTGGTTCCTCCAGGAAGTCCGACCCCTCTGGCCTGTGATTAGACCCACACTATTTCTCTAATGTTTTCTCTACAGACATCTAAATGTGAATTCTGATGAATAAAAGATGATGTCATCCCTGCCAATCCGCAATCAGTCAGCCTCTCAAGAAGCCAAGTATGACACACACCTTTCACCCTCTCTCAGCATCATTGCACTCATGTTCCAAGACAGGGCAGGGAGGGGGCTGGTGGAAGAAAGCTTCCTGCATAGTAGCATTAATTTTTCAGCTACAGAGACAGAAAAAGTATTCTCAAAGAAATGCTTATGAGCCTCACTGTATTCATTGTTCTATGTGGCCTAATAAATTATCAAAAATTTAGCAGCTTAAAGCATCACACATTTGCAGTCTCACAGTTTCCATAGGTTGGAATTCTGAGAGGGTCCTCTGCTCAGGGCACCATGGCTGAAATCAATGTGCCAGCTGTGCTGTGCTCTTATCTGGAAGATGGACTGAAGAAGACACCTCCAGGCTGATGCAGGGGGTTGGCAGAATGAGGTCCCCAGTTTCTTGCTGGCTATCAGCTGAAGGGTGCTCTCATCTCCTAGGTGCCATCTGAAGTTCCCTTCCATGTGACATAAAACAAGGCAGCCTACTCCTTCGAGTCTAGCAGGATGATCTCTCGCTTCCAGGAAGTCCTCCCCCAGCCCCTGGAAGGGCTCAGCTAACTGGATCAGGTCCACCTGAGGGAATCTTCTGTTGGATCATTTCAAAATCAGGTGATTAGGGGCCTTCGTTGCATTCACAAAATTCCCTCTGCTTTGGAATATAATGCAACCTAATGGTGGGAGTGAATCCCATCATCTTCGCTATCCCTCCCCGACTCAGGTTGGGGGTCACACTGGGCACAGACATCGAGGGGCAAGAATCTTAGAGGACATCTTTGAGTGCTCCCTGCCACTCAGTTAAAAGGATCAAAAACTTTAAAAGGAGGAGGATGGAACAGAAGGAGAAGAAGAAAAGCAAGAAGACAGGAGGAAAAAAGAGAAAGAGGAGGAGGAGGAGGAAGGCTAAATGGAGCTCACCGTGAAGGGAGTTTGCGCAGCCTGTGGGCATCAATGAAGCCAGTGGTGTTTCAAGCCTCACCTTACGTCCAGTTTTCCTGACGTTTGCAGGCAGATTCAGTGTTTACGTGGCTGCAGTCTGACTTGCATCATCATAATCTAAAGCTACTATGGAGCACCATGGGATTTATGATGTAACAGGGGGAAGAGTCCTGGGCCCCATCTCTTATTATCTCTAGAAGGATGAAGGAGTGCTTCTCAAAGTGCTCACTGGGGGCCAGGCAGGGCCCTGGGCACAGATGCCCAAGGGAAGGCTCCCGGAGACCTTGGGAGAGAGATTCACATAGCCAGAAAGCCAGTAGGCAAGAGGAGCCTGAGGCTGTGGGGAGAGGGGCCTGGGAGCAGTGGGTGAGGACATCTACGGCAGGAAGCCATAGAGCTCCTTGCCAAACCTCAGCAGAAAACCCCAGAGTGGGGCAATCCCAGGTGCCAAAGGTGGAGATACCCTGACTGGCCGCAGTAGATACCCTCCTGTCCTCCCCCAGCCCCTGGAAGGGCTCATTGAAATAGGAGCTGTCAGAGCAAAATGTTCCCATGGCTCCTCCGCACCTGCAGCCATCTGCTTAGGGAACAGGAGCATAGACAGAGGTGTTTACAGAGACCAATCGATTTTGTTCTGACAGCTCCTATTTCAATGAGCCCCCCACCCCATTGAGGGCCACTTCACCCCTGCAGCCTCAGTCTCCTCCTCTGTAAAATGGGACGATGGCCACAGCTACTCAGCAGGTTGCCATGAGGAGCAAATGAGAAGCCTGTGAGAGCACCTTGCAAACTGTAAAGTCCAAGCAGCCATTAGTGCTTCGGTGACCTGCAGGGCCCCAGGAGGAGGGAGTGAGGCAGCAGCAGCTGACAATGCCCCTTCTCCAGGTTACAGCGTCAGATCAGGTGGACTCCACCCGGGGCAAGACCGGGAGGAAGAGTGCCTGCCTGCTCAGGTCAAACACAGTAAGGACAGGTGACACTGCTAAGCCAGACAGGAAGTGCTTCACAGAAGTGATCGTCCCTCACCCCACTGCTGTTGAGGGCACTGACCATTGCCAGGCTGGCAGCAGGCCCTCTTCTCCACCAGTAGACAGTGGTCAGGCTGCCTGTCTGTGTGCCAGACGGGGGCCTGGGGACCGCTGTGGAAAGAAGTGCGATGGTTAGAGAAGGTGACTGTGGAGGCTGGGCCCAGCCTGCCTCCAGCCAACCACACCTAGCCAGGGTGCAGATGAGTGGAGGGGAAGGTAGGGTGACAGGCTGCCAAGTTCTCGCCTCCCCTCGTTCTCTTCTCTGTGGGTCCTTTCCCTGCCAGCCCCCTTGGGATGGGTGCAGTGAAGCCTGAGGGGCTGGAAAGAAGAAATGAGATCAAATGCGCTGGGGACACCTGGGAATGATTGCACCTTGGTAGCTCCAGGAGGAGGGAGGCCTCCTGTACCTGGAACTCCCAGCACCCTTGGAAGGGGGGAAGCTGGATTCCCTGCGCCCTGGCAGGGCTCCTCTGATGGCCTCTGCACATGCTCAGCTCATAGAGGCAGGATCTCGGGGCGGGGCGGTGCCTCTCTACAAAGTGTCAGACACTGAGTGTCTTAAAACAACAGGAACTGCCTCTCTCCTGTTCTGGAGGTTAGATGTCCGCATTCAAGTGTGCGCAGGGCTGATTCCTTCCGAGGCTTGGAGCGAGAATCTTTCCCGACCTCATCCAGCTGCTGGTGGTCTCCTGAAATCTCCCGCATTCCCCAGTTCCAGGCCTCAGAACCTGGTCTCTGCCCCACAGCCGTGCAGGCTTCTCCCCATGTGTTTCTAGATCTTTTCTTCTTATGAGGACTCCAGTCACTGGATTAGCGTCCACCCTAATCAGTATGACTGCATCTTAACCAGTTACATCTGCCAAGACCCAGTCCCCAAAAGCTCATATTCTATGGTTCCAGGTGGATGAGAATGTTGTGGGGTCATTATTTGACCCACTAAAGTCACTGTCACCCTGACAACAAATGGCTGGATACAGTGAAGGTCGGAGGGGCTGGGGAAGGAACAGGTGAAGCTGGGCTGGGCTTCATGTCTGTGCCTAGCATGTCCCCTGGTCTCACCTCCCACTCCCACAGCCTGCAGGGGCTGAGAGACACTGGTGTCCACCCTGGCCAGTGGCTTTGTCCCTGACAGCCTACCAGGCATGTGTTCAGGTGCCTTGGTGCACTGGACCAGCTGCACTGCAGACCGTGCCTTCACCTCAGTGGAGAAATCTGTGAGCATGTTCCATCTTCATTTCTGGGGCTGCCTGCACCCCATCTTCCCTTGACTTCCCAGTGCCCAGTGCCTGGCAGGTTCTCAAGAAATATTAGCTGAACAGTCCAGGCATGGTGGCTCATGCCTGTAAACCCAACACTTTGGGAGACCAAGGCAGGCAGATGACCTGAGGTCAGGAGTTCATGACCAGCCTGACCAACATAGATAAACCCCATCTCTACTAAAAATACAAAAAAAATTAGCCAGATTTGGTGGCACATGCCTGTAATCCCAGCTACTTAGAAGGCTGAGGCAGGAGAATTGCTTGAACCTGGGAGGTGGAGGTTGTGGTGAGCAGGGATCATACCATTGCACTCCAGCCTGGCCAACAAGAGCAAAACTCCATCCCCAACCAAAAAAAAAGCCTGGACACAATGGCTCACACCTGTAATCCCAGCACTTTGGGAGGCTGAAGTGGGCAGATCACGAGGTCAGGAGTTCAAGACCAGCCTGAGCAATATGGTGAAACCCATCTCTATTAAAAAAAAAAAAAATAGCCTGATGTGGTGGTGCGCACCTGTAGTCCCAACTACCAAGAGGTGGAGACAGGAGAATTGCTTGAACCCAGGAGACAGAGGTTGCAGTGAGCCGAGGTCATGCCACTGCCCTCCAGCCTGGGTTACAGAGCAAGACTCTGTCTCAAAAAAAAAAAAAAAAAAAAAATCTTGCTGAACAAATAATACGTAAATGCATGATCTCCTTCCCAGTAAGAGGCCAGATCACCCTTGGCCCCACCTGCCTGTGCCCCACCTCCAGCCCTCCCCAGGCCCTAGGGTTCCCACCCACTGACCACACCCAAACCCTTCCATTTCCCCGCCATTCGCTGCCTCCCCACACCCAGGACCTGCCGGCTCTCCCTCGGGACCACTGATCAAGCAGGTGCTGGAAACAGGAAGGAGGGGAGGAGAGACATTTTGTGATTGACAGGAGTGTGAAGTCCCCGTTCTGCACCCTGGCAAAGCACAGGGAAGGTACAAGAGAGACTGCAGGGATGGAACCTCTGTCCTGATCAAATCCCATGCTGAGAGGACTCCTCAGGATCTTTTCTTTTTTGAGACAGAGTTTCGCTGTTGTTACCCAGACTGGAGTGCAATGGCATGATCTCGGCTCACCACAACCTCCGCCTCCTGGGTTCAAGCAATTCTCCTGCCTCAGCCTCCCGAGTAGCTGGGACTACAGGCACACACCACCATGCCCAGTTAATTTTTGTATTTTTAGTAGAGACGGGATTTCACCTTGTTGACCAGGATGGTCTCGATCTCTTGACCTCGTGATCCACCCGCCTCGGGATCTTATCTATTTCTCACTACAATCCCAGGAAGCAGGGGCCCAATCACTCTCATTTCACAGATGAGGAAACTGCAGCTCAATTGTCCCCTAAGGCCAGCAGCTGTTGAGTAGCTGCATCACGTTCTGCATCCCCATATGCAGCCACTGAGACACTGCTGAAAGATAGGGGCATAGAAGGCATGGGAAGGAGGCACTTCTGCAGGGAGGCCAGGGCAGAGCCCAGCAGCAAAGCTGGCCATGGGAAATGAACAGGACTGGCCTGTGGAAAAGACTGTCTTCCCATGTTTGCGTCCTTTCTCTGCAGCCTGACTCTGAATTTTTGTGACTTCTCAGCCCAGATCTCCAAGTTAGAATGCTGGGCCTGGCCCAACAGACCTATAATAACTATGATACGGTTTGGCTGTGTCCCCACCCAAATCTTATCTTGAATTATAACTCCCATAATTCCCATGTGTTGTGGGAGGGACCCGGTGGGAGATAATCAAATTATGGAGGTGGTTTCCCTCATAGTGTTCTCACTGTAGTGAGTAAGTCTCATGAGATCTGATGGTTTTATAAGAGGAAACCCCTTTCTCTTGGTTCTCAATCTGTCTTGCCTGCCACCATGTAAGACGTGCCTTTTACCTTCTATCATGATTGTGAGGCCTCCCCAGCCACATGAAACTGTGGGTCCATTAAACCTCTTTTTCCTTATAAATTACCCAGTTTTGTGTATGTCTTTATCAGCAGCATGAAAACAGACTGATGCAAAATGGTTAGTGAACTGAGTGAGTTCACAGAAACAGCCAAGGAGAGAGAGAGAGAGATGGAAGGAAGGGGAGGGAAAGAGAGGAGGGAAGAAGGCAGGAGGGAGAAGGGAGGGAAGGAGAGGGAGAAATGGAGTCTTGTCTTCTTTTGTTTGTTAATTTCGTGACAGTAGACAACAGCACACCTTGGGATCGATCTGCCTCCTCAGTCATTAGAAGCTTCCTCTGGACCTCTCTCCAGGAGTGAATCAGCAGGATGGCCCTGCAAGTGACAGAGTGTCAATTAGTGGCAAATTATAACTGCCAAGCTCCCATTGCCTGCTTCTGAGATTTGGAATGTCTGGTTGACTTCTCTCAACTAGAATAGTCTATTGTGTTCTATTTCTTAATATAGATTCATGGATATGTTTTCAATGCTAAGAAAAGAATCTTTCAAGTTTGGGGTGTTTTCTTAGAGGGAGTCTCACTCTGTCATCCAGGCTGGAGTGCGGTGGCATGATCTTGGCTCACTACAGCCTCCACCTTCCAGGTTCAAGCAATTCTCCTGCCTCAGCCTCCCAAGTAGCTGGGATTACAGGTGTGCACTACCATGCCTGGCTAATTTTGGTCTTTTTAGTAGAGACAAGGTTTTACCATGTTGGCCAGGCTGTTCTTAAACTCCTGACCTCAAGTGATCTGCCCGCCTTGGCCTCCCAGAGTTCTAGGATTACAGGCATGAGCCACTGCATCTGGCCAAGGGGGTTTTTAAAGAATGCTCAGGAGTCTGCATCTAAGGAAGTGAA